TCTATTTCCATATTATAATTTAATTTAATTAATAGTTGCTAATATTGTTTCTTTCATGTGTCAAATAAAATGCTCCGCTGGGTGCAGCTTGATACGACCGCAGAGATCGAACCGTGAACAGTTGGGGCAAGTATGGACACAACATTCAAGCTTGATACAGCACTGAATTTGGATTGTGATTAAATATTGACACAGCATAGGTTTCTGACACAGAATGAATGTGGTCTAACAACTTAAATTTTTTTAATTTACCTATTCGAACCATATCATTATTATTTGCTTTTAATATAAATCAGAAATAACCAATTTAAAATGGAAAATTTTAAAGAAAAAAAAATCCCTCCCCCAAATTTTTTGAACCCCCTTATGATTCATCACCCCACAACTCAATCCAGGCTTCCCTTTGTGGTATGGTACCTTGCAGTACAATTTCAGAGAGATCCATACACTTGAACACAAGTTATTGTCTGGATTCTAGAATGCTTGTTTTTAGGCCCCTTTTGGCCCCAAGTTCCTTAACGTTTAGAGCAATTACCTCCAAACTCAAACCCAGCTTTCCCTTTGTGATATGGAACCTTGTAGTACAATTTCATAAAGATCTATACACTTACACACAAGTTATTGTCTTGAAACTAGAAAAATGCTTTTTTTGCCCCTTTTTGGCCCCTAATTCCTAAAATTTTGAGGCAATTACCCCCAAAATCAATCCCAGCCTTCCCTTTGTGGTATGGTACCTTGCAGTACAATTTCAGTCAGATCAAAACACTTGAATTAACACAAGTTATTGTCTGGAAACTAGAAAAATGCTTATTTTTGGCCCCTTTTTCGTAAATGTTTTGGGCAATTACCCCCAAACTCAATTCCAGCTTTCCCTTTGTGATATGGAACCTTGTAGTACAATTTCAGAAAGATCCATACACTTACACACAAGTTATTATCATGAAACTAGAAAAATGCTTGTTTTTTGCCCCTTTTTTTGCCCCTAATTCCTAAAATTTTGAGGCAATTACCCCCAAAATCAATCCCAGCATTCCTTTTGTGAAATGGAACCTTGTGGTACAATGTCAGAGAGATCCATACACTAACACACAAGTTATGTCTGGAAGTTACAACAATGCTTATTTTTGGCCCCTTTTTGGCCCATAATTCCTTAACTGTTGGTACCATAACCCCCAAAATCAATCCCAACCTTCCTTTTGTGGTATTGAACCTTATGGTAAAATTTCATAGAGATCCATTCACTTAAACTAAAGTTAGAGTGCGAAAACCAATGTGTCTTCAGACGACGTCGACGACGACGACGACAACGACGCCAACGTCATACCAATATACGTCCGCAAAATTTTTTTGCGGTCGTATAAAAATAATACAGATCTGCAACTTATCTATCAATGTCAAAAACTTTATCTCATAATAAAAATAGATTATTATCTAATTAAAGTTCAGATTCAGCACTTGAAAGAACCCTATATATATTTTATTTATGTTCAAATATAACACACACAAACTGATTAATTTTCCCAGGGGACAAGCCCTTTATTTCATATGATTTATTTTATTGTCCCATACAAGAATATATATGGTTTAGGGGTGGGGATCTCAACCGTTTACAAGTTTTCAAAAAGAAGGGGATAGGGTTTACCCCCGTGGACTTCCCCTATATTTCATTTGATTTTATATAGTGTCCCATACAAGAATATATATGGTTTCTGGGTGGGAATCTTGACCGTTTACAAGTTATCAAAAAAAAGTGGGGGTAGGGGTTACCCCAATGGACTTCCCTTATATTTCATTTGATTAGTTTTATTGTCCCATACAAGAATATATATGGTTTAGGGGTTTGGATCTCGACCGTTTACAAGTTCTTAAACAGAAAGAAGGTGGGGATGACCCCAGGGGACTTGACTTTTATCTTATTTGATTTGTTTTATTGTAACATACAAGAATATATATGGTTTCAGGGTGAAGATCTTGACTGTTTACAAGTTTTCAAAAAAAAAGGGGTGGGGGTTACCCCAGGGGACTTCCCCTCAATTTCAATTGATTTGTTTTATTGTCCCATACAAGAATATATATGGTTAAGGGATGGCGATCTCAACCGTTTACAAGTTTTCAAAAAGAAGGGGGTGGGGTTTACCACCGTGGACTTCCGTTAAATTTCATTTGATTTGTTTTATTGACCCATAAAAGAATATATATGGTTTAGGGGTGGGGATCTCAACCGTTTACAATTTTTCAAAGAGAAGGGGTTGGGGTTTACCACCGTGGACTTCATCTATATTTCATTTGATTTGATATATTGTTCCATACAAGAATATATATGGTTTCTGGGTGGGAATCTTGTCCATTTACAAGCTATAAAAAAGAAGGGGGTGGGGTTATCCCAATGGACTTCCCCTATATTACATTTAATTTGTTTTATTGTCCCAGACAAGAATAAATATGGTTTAGGGGTGGGGGATCTCAACCGTTTACAAGTTCTTAAACAGGAAAAAGGTGTGGGTGACACCAGGGGACTTGACTTTTATTTCATTTGATTTGTTTTATTGTAATATACAAGAAGAAAAATGGTTTCAGGGTGGGGATCTTGACTGTTTACAAGTTTTCAAAAAAAAAGGCGGTGGGGGTTACCCCAGGGGACTTCCCCTAAATTTCATTTTATTTGTTTTATTGTCCCAAAAAAGATTATATATGGTTTAGGGGTGGGGATCTCAACCGTTTACAAGTCTTCAAAAAGAAGGGGGTGGGGTTTACCCTCGTGGACTTCCCCTAATTTTATTTGTTTTGTTTTATTGTCAAATACAAGAATAAATATGGTTTAAGGGTGGGGATCTCAACCGTTTACAATTTCTCAAACAGAAGGGGGTGGGGGGGGGGGGTTACCACAATGGACTTCCCCTATTTTTCATTTGATTTCTTTTATTGTCCCATACAAAAATATACATGGTTTAGGGATGGGGATCTCGACCGTTTACAAGTTCTCAAACAGACACGCTGGGGGTGACCCCAGGGGACTCACCTTTTATTTCATTTGATTTGTAACATACAAGAATATATATGGTTTCAGAGTGGGGAGCTTGCACAATTACAAGTTTTCAAAAAAAAGGAGGGTAGGTGTGAACCCGAGGTCTATCCCAATATTTCATTTGATTTGTTTTATTGTCCCATACAAGAATATATATGGTTTAGTAGTAGGGATCTCGACTGTTTACAAGATAAAATCACATTATCAAATTGAAGGGGGGTAGGGGTAAGAATATATATGATTAACGGACACTTAATTATCTACAAAATGTCTAATAATGAACAGTAAATTTCAAACTTCATTTATACAGTCCTACTAGTAAGTTTCAAACTTTATATATACAGTCCTACAGATCTTATCAGAAAACAGAAAATTTTCAAATAAATCTGTCACTCCAATGATAATCATATGATAAAATATTTCCAAGATCTAATTAATAATGAAAATAAATCATTATCATATGCTAAAATATTTCTAATATCTAATTGAACAGAACTATGGTTGTTTAACATAGTACTCTAACATAATTAATAATGTAATAATATTCAAAATGTCTAATGATATAGCTTATAATCATTACCACTTAGGAATTAGATAATTTTCAAATAAATATTTCACTACAATTTTTATTCTGAGATAAGACAAATCATAACATGATAACAAGAGTAAAATATTTATAAATTCTACTTTTGGAATGGCGATAACTCACAAAGGAGATATACTAAAATCTTGAAAATTGAACTAAAATTTCATTACTTCCCAGGAAACAACATATATAAAATTGAAAAAAAATTGTTAAAGCGTTTTCATGTTATTGTGCTGACACTGTTTGGCAGCCGCCCGCCATACATCACCATTTTAATAACCGATATTTCCTTCGAAAATCCGGTTAAAAATGTCAAAAATAGGGTTACAGCAGTCAACATTGTGTTATAATGTTAATCACTATAAAAACAAACAAATATGTCAACAAAGAAACACAAAAAGGCATACAGACACAGCACACCAGCAAAAACGAAAGATAGAATCTTAACATTTTGAATGAGGTTAAAACATTCAATGTCAAATATCAAAAACAGAAAACTGGCATCCTAATGTATTTTTTAAAAGTTAGCTGTAGAACTTACATAACAAAGACCAATTGTAAATGTCCCCATTATTGTGTTTTACCCAAACGGTTTAGGTCTTAAATGGTCCGTTAAAATGTCTATAAGATTGTCAAATGTCTTTATGTTTGGCTTTACTGGAGCACATAAATCCCGTAATAAACTATAAGTCTTTTCTCCACAGACTGTGAAACTCTTCTTGTCGTCATCGTCGATTTCATTTGCAAGGAAATACTCTTCTTGTCTTTCGGTATATTCCTCAAAATTATTTTCAAACTTAAATTCCTCGATCCGACCATAAGTAGGCATTTTAATGATTTCAGGTGTGTTAAAATTTCAGCAGATTGTAAAATGAAGTTCTCTAAAAAAGTTCCATATATCCTCATCACCAATGTTATATATTTATCGTGGGTGGTAGTGATGACTATTTCATTAGAGTATACATGTTTATAAAAGTACAATCTACACACATAATGATTGCATTTGCAATACATCAGTATATATAAAACAAAGCGTAATTTAATGCCGTGGGAAAGTTACGCCCATAAAACCTAACAGAATACTGTAGCTGTGAACTATGATAAGAGATCATAATCTATTGGCAGACAGGTCCGCTAATCTGATGATAATAAATTCCTTACTGTCAATATTAACTATAAGCCAATTAAACTATAGTGATCATGTATCATGTAAACATAACAATCTTTATCATGTGCGATACACTAATACATAAATATCACATAGATCAGAGGGTGAAGGAGCAGATTGTGACCCACATAAAACATTGTCAAGCGAGCCAAAAAGGATAATTGTAAATATAAATAAGGCAAAATTTCTGATATTGAATACATAATTTGCAATTTACATACCATGTTTATCTTGGTCTTTGTCATTCAAGTTTGCAACAACAAGGTAGACAGCATCTGGATTAAGAAAAGTTTGATGTGTTGCATAAAATTCTTCATCACCTGCAAAATCCCATAATGTTAATGTGTAATCTTCATCATCCTTTAAAACAACAGCAGACTTGAAAATGGCTGAAAGTTCTTTAGATGCAGTTTCATCTGAGGTTTGTGGATTGGTATCGAAAATATTGGGTTGGTCTGACTCCACTGCCAAAACTCGACCGGTACTATCTGTTTCCATTGTGCTACTTTTAGTCCTAACATTAATAGCATCTTTGTCGTCAACCCTTTCATAAATAATGTCTTCTATGTCTACATTTTTTGGATATATGTTTTGTGTCTTTGACATGTCTGATGAAGACTCAGATTCTCTTTCATTTTTATCTTTCATGCATAATTGTTGAACAACTGATTTCTGTATTCTAATGTTAATATCAAATTCTTTGTCTTTGTCTGCAGATAGAAATAATGTTTATAACATTTAATTATGTGTAAAGTTAAACCTAAGGGGTCAAATTAAATGTATTACAAATTTTAATAACTCTTTAACTATATCTAGTTAAAGTTTCTTTCAGTTTTAACCCATTTTGAGATTTCTGATCAAAATACATGTTCACAAGTTCATAGACCTATGTTTCTTGATCATATTGATTAAACTTAAGGCTCCTGGACACTTGAATAACTCACCAAAAAAATGCCATCTTGACATTTTTACTTTTGTGTGAGCACAATATTTTTCCTATACAAATTATGCATTTTCAAGTATACAGCATTTCAATAGTCCATAATTAATCTAATCTATATTGAAAACATGGAAATTGCATCTCATGACTTTAGGGAACAAGTTTCAGTCTTGAAAAAGATTAAAGATGCATTGTCATGTACCACTCATTTCCATATCTATTTTTTTCTCAATAAATATGCACTTTGTATTCACTGACAGCCCCTCTTCATGAGTAACTCAGTTCACACCCTTTGTTTTTAGTGGTGTTGGTGTTACTCAATCATAGTTTTCTGTCTGTTTTTTTCCGTTGAATTGATAATCATTTAGTTGTTTTCCTTTTGGCCATAGTTGTTTCCTGTTTCATCAACTTATGGCTTTTCATTGACGTTCCCACCCCTAGTATCTTCACCATAATTTTGATCAATATGAATAACACAAAATCTTAAAAATTGATCCCCTAAAAAAATCAATGTGTCTTAGTAAACATTCAAGCATTCATCAGATTATCAACTATAGGATGCCCAAAAAGGTAAAACTTCATAACTAGAGGCTCTAAAGAACCTGTATCGCTCAGCAGAATCTAAGTGCGTCTTCATTAATGGTCACGATCTCAAACATTATAGATGAGAATTTAATTCATTACAAAACCTCTTATTGGTCGATCTTGTCTTGATCATCACTTGTGTTTTCTGTATATATTACATTACATTACATTTCATAGACATTCAGGCCAGTCATTTTTTACATTATAATTAGTATTTGTTACTGTTTATAAAAATATTTTTTAAAAACTTTGCAGTTATTATCCTTAACTGATTGGATTTACTTTGCATTTTAATCAACTACAAATAGTCCGTTATACTAAGTCTGTCATGTAGCAGGCAAGACAAAATTCTAAAAAAAATTTTTAAAATATCTTCAAACAAACCCTAACTCTATCAAATGACCCTCCCCGGTCAGCAATCATCACAATATCAACAAGGAATTTTCTAAATTCAGACTTTTGTTCTCAATTTTCTAATTTTTAAAGTAACATAGGCGATGGACCAACTTCAATAAATAATAGTGAACTTAAAAAAACATCAGGGAAATTTCAAAGATTATTTTTGTTAAAGTTTCTGAACCTATACACATGAGTTATCTTTCTTGTATTGTGCTAATAAAATAACAAAGCAATTGATATCATTAAAAAATATATTGTATATTATTGATAATGGCTCAAAACAAATCAATTGATCATGGATGGTCGATTTGTAATTATTGACAGGAAACCTGTTCAAGATTGCATAAACTAGTATCAAAAGTTTGCGCTACCACTCTTAATGTATACAATGTCACAGCTGTTGTGACATTACCTACGTCAGTGTTCCAATAAAAGTATCATTGCATGCAATCAGACGTATTTCTTCCTTAACGTTAATCATGTCCGATACAATCACTCAACGATATTGGTGCTGTGACCAGGATGAATTTGAAGTTGCGTTCAATACGAGCAGGACAAATAATTGCAGTTTCCAGACTGATAAAGAAATTTGAAGACATTCAACAAGAGGAAAATGGAACTGCGGACAAGGAAGATTTGTCAAACATATTGGATAGTCTGACGGTAGCTGGAACTATTACGAAAATTAGATGAGGAGATAGTAAAGGAACTGGTTGACAGAGATATGGAAACGAAGATCGTTGAGGCAGATGAGTATGCTTTTAACGAATAGGGTAAAGTTCGTCAAGTCAACAAAGTTATGTTGTTAAAAACTAGATCGTTTAATACACATGCAGAAAAATTTACTCCATGCTTAGAAACTACACACCCCATTCATACAGTACACTTTTCTAATACACAACATCAGAACAACCCAAACTACCATTTGCCAGATTTCTGCTTATCTTTTAGCTTAACAAGTGAATACAACAAACTTCCCAAGGTGAAGCTCCCTTTTTTTGATGGAGATATACTTCAATGGCAGTCATTTTGGGACTCATTTGAGACAGCCGTATATGCAAACCCAACCTTAAACAACGTCCAAAAATTCCATTATTTTAAATTGTTACCTCACAATGAAGCTCTGAAATCAGTGACAGGTATTGCTCTCACTAATCATGCTAATGCAAACTATGAAGAGGCAATTTCCCTGTTTCAAGAAAAATATGGACAGCAACTTAAAATTACACAGAAGTATATGCAGGCACTTATTATATTCCGTTGCCTAGATACACACTTTTCAGCCTCAGACATTTTTATGATAACAATAAAATATACATAATAGGTTTAGAATCACTAGGACAACCTGATGATTCATATGGAGCGCCATAAGTACGGATTATATTTAATAAACTACCAGGGGAAATTCGAAACTAGATGTGTTGGAACAAAACATATGGCCCGCTCATAAAAAAGCTTGAAGCTATTTTTAGGAGTGGAAATTGAAGAATGAAAGGCTGTTTAACAGTTATTTTTAATGAAGTTTATAAAGTCCAAAGCCCGTAGTTTTGGCACAAATCAGTGGATCTGAACAAGACATAAACTCAATCTGTAAATCATCATAGTAGACTCACATACTAACAAGAGTCTGTCAGAGTAACAGCAAACCGGATTTTCATGCAGAGGTCGAACCCTGAACAGTTGAGCAAGTATGGACACATCATTTAAGCTTAAACAGCTCTGAATTTGAATTGTGATTGGATATTTGACACAGCATAGGTTTGTGACACAAAATGAATGTGGTCAAAGAACTAAAAAATTTGAAATTGGACATTTACCTATTATGGTCCAATATCCAAAATCTAAGTACATTGTTAGAATCAGCATATCAAAGAACCCCAAGAACTCATTTTTTTTATGAAATACTTATTAATTACATTTCTATTCAAAGGGAAATAACTCAAAATAAATATGAGACCAAATGACACAGAAATTAATTATTTATTTCTGTTCAAAGGGAAATAACTCAAAATCATATAATACAAATCAATTTTGCTACTGAAAGGACTACAACTCAACAACGAGAACAGCTTAAATTTTGAAAATTTAACTTGACCTTCATTTAGCATGTTTAGTCACAGGAAACAACATGACATAATGACAGATAGGGTAAAACTATATGGCCCTGACAACTTTGTTGCGGTGCCATAAAAACCTTGCAAGAGAATTTGGATCTACTTACATACGCTTGGCCGACTTAAAAAAAAGGCATATTTAATGAATTAAATATTATGGAAGCCAGTAACTCAATAGACAGTCTTGAAAATCCCACAGCTACTGCAGTATATTTGTCAAACACAAACCACGAAAACCGACTATCAAGTCACAGACACTCAAATAAGGTTCACCAAAACACTAGCTTCAATTCTAAATAGTGCGTTTATTGCCACGAGTCACACCCTCGGTAAATTGTACCAAAGTAATTGAATATAAAGACCGGATGTCAATAGTTAAAAGAGACCACTTATGTTTCAACTGTTGTACAATACCTTTCAAAATTTTTTTGAAAGGTATTGTACAACAGTTGAACCATAATTAAAACATTTATTTTAGTGTCATTACCAAAAATCATGATTTCAACAATGCTACAACCTATGCAGCTCTGGCAAAGAAAGTAAAGTTTTTTCTTAGTCTTCTTTATTAAATGAACAATTAAATTTGTATGAAACAATAAGGAAGTTTATTCCAAAACGTGTACCATGGTACGTTGGTTGGTGGGAAAGATTAGTAGGATTGAGTAAAAATAGTTTTAAAAGTTCTAAGAAAGGCATTTGTCACTATCATCACAGAGGTAGATCCCATACTTAACGATCCGCATTCACTTATTCATCATCAAATCCAACAGATACTGAACCATTGACACCCTCCCATTTACTCTATGGATTCGAAGGAGAATTACGACTTTACCATACATACGAACTTTATATAAAAAACCTCGAAGATTCAAATAAACTGTTGACACAGAGATATTGTAATGTTCGCTATGTGATAAATATATTCGATGGTCGTTGAAATCTGTCGTCTGATTGAAACGGGTTAATGGGTGGATTTATAATAGAATAGATAATGGCATGTTGTTTGGAGTATTTATATGCATACTTTATATCGTATCAATCTTCAGGAAATGGTCGCTATTGTTTGTAATATCGTATTTGGTTTAGAACAGCAGATATTGAGGTCCTAGTGGTCATTTTTGGTTTCACATGTTTGTAAAGGAAGTCAAGTACTCGCTTCTAATACTACTTCTTCTTGATGTTGTTACTAGGCAACTCGATAGCTTCAGGCTTATCGATAATAAAGTTCGGTTTTGAGCTATATCCGCTTCAAACCATGAATCTGACAAACTATATAGCTTTATATATAAAATGTATTATTAGTTTGATTCAATGTTACATAAATACAAGTGTAGAAAGATACAATAACATAAAAAGTAATGGTAACGTGATTATTAGAGTAAGGAGAATATTGTTCGAACCAATGATAAGGCCTTAATTTACCTATACTGCTGGCGCTGGCATATAAAAGCTCAGAAGCGGCAAAGTTCGAATTTGGTTAAGCTAGTAGTAAAAAGAAGCTGCTTCCCCTCACTTATACCTGTGCTGTTTAGTGCAGTATCAACAGAAAAAGGTATGTTTGACTATGGTCAATAGCTGAGTAAATTTATGAACTTGAGATAAAGGAGAAAAATAGAGAAATTAATGTTTATTTTGGTTTGAGCTTGGGGCTTTTCTCTAGAAGTTAC